AGAAAATTGCAGCAATGTCTTTTCGAAGTGCAAGCAGATGAACAATTAAAAAGTTATCAAGTATTGTATAATCATGGTAAGCAAAAGCAGCAGGATTAACGAACCCTCACACTACAGTATTAACTAAAACACAAAATATAAATCACAAATTTGTAAACAGAGAAGTATGAGGCGCCCAAAGGCAAAGAATAAGAAAATCCATCCATCACAATGCTCTGTTTTTTTATGAAGTAATTGATCACTACCTATTAGACAATATAGGAACTGAAGAATAGTTAAATGTATTGGAACCGAATGCTATTGGTTCGCATAAACTGAAGCAGTTGCATCCCAAATCCTCTAACCATCATGGCTAGAAAATGGACAAATGATTTATGAAACATACAGATTAGCTGATGTCATTTAAAGTTTTCAATGAACAATATGTGAGAATCACGAAAACAACGTACCTTTATAGTTGCAACAAGGCCCAACCTGGATGAAAAATAGCTGCATCAGTTTAATTATTACTTTTTTAACTCAGACAATTGGAGACCATCTAAGAGAATTTTAAATCTTTCGAAATTCATATACGTGTTTATTTTTTCCAGTAAAGGGAATATAGAATTGAGTAAGGGATTGCGACGAAAGTGTCCGTGTTTCTAGTTTCTATATAAATCTCTGGCGTGGAAGAAATATGCATATCTAACGAGTTTATATGATTGTATATCTAACTCGAGTTTATAGATTGTATATTTAACTAGTTTCATGCGACCAAAGATGGTGGATTCTTAAAATTGACAGTGTTCTATCATATTTAAGATATTATAGTAAAGAACACCAAGCAAGCCCCACCAAGAAAAGCTATTGCTTATACATCACATCATCCTAACACACACCTCATCCAGTAAAGAACAATCAACATCGTGAAAATGGACAAGGGAACCAAAAAAACACCTATATTGATCCTATGATATAAATTATTATTTTAATTTCTTCAATAATCACACTTTTAACCGATAATGACAAAAACAAAATATGGGCATTTCAAACCATTGAAAATGATAATGAAGATACGGTGGCAAACTCTCTCACACTGTGGGCATAGGGGATATAACTTATATGAGAGCGTCTCAACATCTTTTACAAAAACATCATTTATTCAGTAAAACTTAGCTTTCAAAATATTGTGTTTGAATAGAGAGGTTCCTTTCTCACACTTCATCACAGTGAAACGCATGTGGCGGGTTATCGTTAGCGACATGCGAACAGCAGTAACACGAACAACAATAAACAACTCGAAGCTCGATTAACCCGATTGTGATGTCATTATATTTGGTCTTAATTTAAACTTCCATTGATCATATTGCTCTTGTTGTGAATCAACTTTCAACAAAAATCATCAAAATCTATGTGAGTGTGATTTTCAGGAATTCGACATAAAACACAAACACAGCACAACAATGTCACACCTAACTCATGAAAATTGATGATCCAACCACCACAAATTCTCCGCGGACTGAATAAATTCATTTAATCACGAAAAAAACTGATTAAAAAAAAAAAAAAAAAATATTCACCTATCCGCCATGGTGGCTATGGTCTTGAAAGCCAGCAGCAGCGACCGATCGGCGTTCGAGCCCCGATTCTGCCACCTCCCCAGCGACGAGGTCATGGAATCGCCGGCGACGCCACCGCTCGGCATCGATATGACGGTGGAGAGCCCGCCGTCGGCCAGGAGCGGGTTCGACGGGCCCCCGACCCGGACCGGATCGGTGTCGCCGGACTCGTTGGTGAAATTCCGCCACTCGAATTTCTCGTCGATGGCGTGGGACTCCAGCACGAGGCCGCACTCGGAGCACGTGGTGTCC